AGCGGTAGATTGAGCTTATACCAGTCAGAGAGTGTAGCAGTCTGTTCCATGATAAAATTCTAGAGTTCGAATCGGAAGAGAGGATGGAATACTCTGCTCCATTGGAAAGTTCTTGACCGCCAACAATCAAACAAGTTCCCCAAATGATTGATAGAAGCAAAATTGAAGAGCCAGCTAACAAGCCAACTCCAGTGTAAGCATACTCCTGAGCAACTTCCTTGGTGTTCATGAGTCCAGAAGCTGATATGGTTAATGGAAAATGTGATTAGTTTCCGTACAGATTAGTTTACTTTTAGCTATCTAAATTAATATTTCTGGATAATTTACTTACTCCATAAGCTAGCTAGCTCGCTACCTTGCATTGCAACAATAAGATAGTTGCTTGCGTGCACGGTAGACTGCAGCCACAGCTAGATAGGAAAGCAATTAAGAATATGATATTTTTAATTAGTTTGAAGATCAACATAATTATGTAAGTATGTGGTAGTTTTGGTAATAGCCTATTGGTAATTTGCGTGTTAATCCCAAGTCTTTGTTCGTGATTAATACTCTTCTTTCATTACCTATTCTTGGTTGCGTTTACCATAAGTACTCTCCTTTGACCTGGCCAACTAGTCTAACTACCAACAATAATTTTGGTGGAAAATATATGAATCTGATCACAATTTGCTACAGTATTCCATTGCTCAATCAACGTTCATATGTACCAAAACAAAAGAAAGAGACTGCACTTTTAATCATCGAAATGTCTCTTTGTATAGGAGTTTTGGTTTTGGCATTGCTTGAACATGTCTGATGTTCTTGTATTTATATTGAACTTAAACCAGAAGTTGTATTGTCAGTTGAGATGAAATGACCAACTCTAGCAGAAATTACGTTACCATGACAAATAGATCAAGAATGTGGAAGAAAGCAGCGTACCAAGGAGTATCAAGGACTCAGGGAGGGCACTAAGGACTTGAAATGCACTTGCACCGAAGAAACCAGGCCCAAGAATCTTAAACATCAGCTCACCGCCTGAAGCCAAATAGGATTCTCCATGGAACAGTAGATACTCGTACACCAATATCAGGAAGAGATGCCCGTAAATACTATTTGAACAAGGCAAGAAGCCATACATCTGCTCACAGTACTCCTCAGAAGACTCCATTTCCTTGAGAAACAACCCGGAGGAATGGCTGGCCTGAACAGGATCATCATCATCAATTCCATCTGAAACCAATTGAGCCGAGCTTTGTGGAACAGAACGAGCTTTAACAGGGATGATTACGAACGAAAGAGCCACAAGAAAGCATAGAGCTTTTGCAATGTTCCTCATTTTTCTTTGTGATAAATTGAAGGAAATGGTGGATGAGGAAAGCCTGCAGAAATTAAGTTTCACCTCCTTTGGTCAACTGTAGTGAAGTTTTCAAGCCAATGCTACTTGCCCAAAAGGTTTATCAATTAATAGCTCATCTTAACATATGTCCATTTCTACAAGTTAATCTTTTAATATTGAATTTCATATTCAGAAAACAAAAAAAAAAAAAACCAAGGCAAAATTTCTTGATTAATCATGATTTATATCCTACAATAAACTTATTCAACCAATTCTATAACTTAGTATATATAATAATGTATTTTATTAACGTATTTTTGTTTGTACTTACATACTTTTTCTTCTATGTCGTGCGAACATGAACTTGCATGGATATTATCATACGACTAAATATTAATTAAGGGTCAAATCCATTTGGGTACTAAGAAAATAAATAATATCAATAGCTTCGTGACTGCAACTTGAAAGCCCAAACCTTCAAAGTTGAAGTTTCAAATGCTAATCCTTATAATTGATTATATGTTTGATTACTTATTTTCTCTTTGATCAAATTATACAATTGGTTTATATATTTTGTTAAAATAGTGAAATTAATCCCCATACAATAATTTATAAAAAATTAAATTTTTATTTTTTAAAAAAAATTAATAATATAAGTTCAATCATTAACGATATTAAAAAATTTTTGTTAGTTACATATTAATATAGATAATAGAAAAATTTTAAGGCTATAAATGATTGAATTGATATTATCAATTTCGAAAAATACAAGATCTCAATTTTTATAAACTAATTGATCTTTCTTTTTTTACTATTTGAATGTATAATCTAAATTTTATCTTTGTTTTTGTTGGAATTATGGGATTAGTTAGGGATAGGGGAGGGGTCACATCAATCTGAGGGGCTTATTGCATGAAGCTAGGGGATACACAAGAACCTAAATTCCCCAAAAAGAATATTGATAGGTGCTTTCCAAGCACCAAATCTTTACTTCAAGGCAAGAGATTAAGCTGCTTGAAGCAATGATAGTTGCAACTTAGACTATATTATATTCCGGATTAAGTAAAAAAGAGAAGAGGGTAAACTAAGATCATCAAAGGGTATCATGGCATATTCAAGCAAGTCTTCTTGGAGTGTACATATCTATGTGTTTTTTTTCCTTTTCTTCTACCATGGTAGATATCTGTATTCTTTTGCTTTGCAACTATTTGGGCACTACCTTTAATATTGCTGTAATATTGTGTTTCAATTTCAATAGGAGTTTAATAAAGAAAATAATTAAATTAATTGTAATTGATTAATCAATAATAAAATTGATAATCTAACTAGGAGTATTTAGATAAATCATTTTTAACACTTTTGGAGTTCACACTTTTATGTATAAAAGATATATATATACATATGTGTGTGTGTGTATATATATATATATATATATGTCTGATTTGTAAACCTACTCATACAATTCTTTGTTTTTTTAGGTAAATTTCACTTCATTTCTTGTAATTTTAACTTTTTTTCACATGTCATCTTAAAACTTTTTTCCCAATTAGTACCCTGTGGATATATATTTTTTTAATTAGTAACTTGTGGATAAATTTTGTTCTCATAGGAGGTTAAGTTGTTAATTGTATCTAGTAAAATTATCAAAATACTTTAATTCAAAGTTAGTTCATTTTTTCACATTTAGGGATATTGTTTTAATTTTTTTGAGTAAAATTAACATTTTAATCTTTTTTTGGAATAAAAATTATTTACAGGGTTCTAATTGAAAAAAAAAAGATATTTGTAAAATACTATTTGAGAAAAAAGAAACTACAAAGTATTGTTGAGAAAAGTTGAAATCACTGGGATTGTTTGCAGAGTTTTTTTTTTATAATTTAAAATTTGAGATGGCATAAAATTTGGACTTTGAAGTAATCAACAAGACAAATATAATATTTATGAGAATAATAATAATAATATAAGTATGAGACAAATTAGAGTTCGGAATAAAAAAGTTAAGGTAATTTCTCTTTCTTTTCTATGTATTTAACTTTGTCATACACAATTCTGTTGTAGATTGAAGGGGATTGTGATGAGAATTAGTCATATAGGTCTTTTAAGGGCGAGCCCTCTTTTGATATTTCAAAGCACAAACAAAAGGAACTTGATAGAAAATGGAGTAAATCGGTTGTAGTTCGTCTTTTAGCACGATCCATATGTTAACAAAGTGCTTTGTGATAGCATTATTTCGTTATGGTCTCTTAAGGGATGTTACAAAGTTGTCGATCTTGATGATGAAAATTATTTGATTAAATTCTCTGTAGAAGAGGATTATCTCAAGCATTGTTGGAAGGACCGTGGATGGTGCAGGGGTAATATTTGTTAGTGAAACCATGGTCTCCTTCTTATTACAGAGAATTTCATAACCTGTCTACAGTTGCAGCATGGATCAGATTTTTTGAGATGACTTTACATTTCTATCATAAATCTGTATTGAGGAGGATTGCATCTATCTTTGGCAAATCGATTAAGATAGATTACAACATGGATGTTCCAAAAAGGGAAATATTTGCTTGTATTGCTGTTGAGCCGGATCTATCGAAACCTTTATGTGCTAGATTTTTCCTTAATGGATGTTTGCAAAGAGTAGAATATGAGGGCTTACCCAGGTTTTGTTTCAACTGTGGTATTAACAGTCATGTGAAAGAGAGTTGCCTAAGACAGAAAATTGAACAACCTTTTACTTGCCACATTCTGAAGGATGGAGACACTTCACAGTCAAAGCCTTCCCCATTCAGTCCTTAGATGTTAGTATCAAGAAGAAGAGCTAAGAATAATGCAGTTTGACAAAATCAGTCATGTGACAAAAATGGTGGAAGACCAAATACTCAAGGGTTAAGATTTGATATTTTGGGTGATGTTGATGAAGTGTATGTGACTCCTAGGAATCACATAGTGGGGAAAGGAAGGGCCTCGCAGTTGGGAGTTGCTGAAAAAGTTAATGATGGTTTGTTGAGTAAAATGATGAACATAGCTTATCAGTAGAGTAATGATATTGTAGGACTAGTTAGTGGTGTTATTACCAGCAATGTTCTGATCCCCGTGATCAATGATACAGTGGTGAGGGTGTTAGATGATAGCACAACGAAGAAAGAAACTAGTTCTAAGGTCACAATGCTTAACAATTGAGACTTTTCCCCATCAATAAAGAATAATGATGCAGTAAAACAGGTTTCATTTAAGGAAGGTGATAAATTGCCACAACGAACCATCCTTAATCCCATCAAACATACTGTCGCAACCATGGTCATCAGAAAGATGGATGCGGGTACTAGTCAAAACAACTCGCAAGTGCATAGAATTTAAAGACTTATGCAAAAAAAGAAGCTAGGGTTTTTCTTCAAGAGAAGAATGGTAGACCTCTTGATAACAAACCATTAAATAGATTGCAGAGCTTGTTGATTAAAAAAAGGGTAGAGCCAAGAATGCAATTACCACAGTACAAACTAATGCAGTGACAAGCTTATTAGAAGACAATGGGTTGAGTGTTGTCTTAAATGTGGCTATGGTAGAGGTAGTGCATCAACTTACTGTGGCAAATGATCCAGAAAAGTCTTTACCATTTTGGAAGAAGATATGATGGAGAAACTTTTTGAGGTCCGTCATCTTTATATATTTTATTATTATGAATTTTAATTTCATGGTGTGGAATTGCCAAGGTGCTAGTGACAACCATTTTGTCAAGTTGATTAGAGACTTTGTGAATCAATATCGTTGTTCCATGGTTATTATAATAGAGCCAAAGATTAGTGGGTTTCATGCAGAAAAGGTAATTAAATCTACAGGCTTTGAAAGATCACATAGAGTTGAATCATTTGGTTTTTCAAGGAGCATATGGATACTTTGGCAGGAAATTGTTAATATAGAGGTGATTGCGAATCACTCACAATATATTCATATCACAATAGAGCATCCAGTGGGAAATCTTTGGAACTTATCTACAGTTTATGGTCATCCGAATCCATCTATTAGAACTACCTTGTGGGAGGAGCTTGCAAGATTTGCTAGGTCTGTTACAAAACCATGGTTGGTAATAGGTGACTTCAACTCTTTCTTATTTTCGCATGAAAATTTTAGAGGGTTTATAAGAGGTAGTCAACCTTGTTCTCACTTTCAAAAGTTTGTAAATGATTTCGAATTAATGGATCTTGGGTTCAAGGGACTTAAATTTACTTAGAGAAGAGGTATGGTTTCCGAGAGGCTTGATAAAGCAGTTTGTAATACGTATTGGAGGCTAGATTTCAGTGATGAAGTAGTTAACCATCTTTCGAGGCTCAATTCGGATCATAAACCATTATTAATTTCAAAGAGGGAGGATTGTAATATAAATAGAACACAAAATTTTTAATTCCAAGCAGCATGGATGTCACATGATGGATTTGAGGAGTTTATGAAGCAAGCATGGGATGTTTTGAGTAGTATTCATGTAGCTTTGATGAATTTTTCTGAGAAAGCAAGATAGTGGAATAGAGAGGTGTTTGGCAATATCTTTTATAGGAAAAAAAGATTACTAGCAAGATTGAGTAGGGTTGAAAAAGCACCAAAATTGTGACCTTCCAATTATCTAAGAGAGTTGGAGAACAGCTAATGACTGGAATACGAAACTGTATTAAAGCAAGGGGAAACGTTTTGGTTTCAGAAATCCAAGGTAAACTGGTTGAAGTTGGGCCATCATAACACCAAATATTTTCACCTTTGTGTGATGAGAAGGCGTTGCAAGTTAAAAATTTTGCAACTTAGAGTTACGAATGAGGAATGGTGTGATGATCAGAGGTAATTGCAATTACATGTTGTGGATTTTTTCAAGCACTTATACTCTTAAGGAAAGTAATGAAATCCCATCATATCCAATCCAAAATGGCTTCCTTAGACTTCCATAAGAAGCATATGACTTTATAAGACGTTTAGTTGATGCATATGATGTTCGTGAAGCACTCTTCGAGATGAAACCACTCAAAGCATCGGGGTTGAATGGAATGACGTGATAATATTAAAAAAAATAATTTTATCTCTTATTAATTTTAAAAATTACTATTATATAATTTTTTTATATAAAAAAAATTCAAGCTAGTGTTCCTCAAGGGAGGGAGCATCAATTTGGTGCTTCCCAAGAAAAGAGGTGGCAGGAGAACACCAGATCGGTACATCCTCCCTTCGCCTAGGGAGCACATGTTATGGGGTGATCGACCTGCGAATGAGAATGTACCGATAGATCACATTGTTTAAGAAAAAAAAGAAAAAAGTATTTTTATATTTTTATATTTTTTGTAAACGGTGTTTGTATTTTTAGATTTTATTATTTATTTTAAAAATTAATAAATTTATATGAATTTGGATTAAAATTTCAAAGTTTAGATATTTTATCTTTAATGTAAATATTTTTAAACTCTAGTGATATCCTTTTAACGTGCTCCATGAGCTCGAAAGGCAAGAATATCATCACCAAACTTTTCTTCTCGAAAACGCCAAACTTATAGACCAGTCCAAAGTTTAAGGCCAGCTTATGACGCCATAAGCAAAAGAGTACATCAAATCATCTTCGCTGCATTTAACTCGGAAAGAATGATCCTTCCTTCTGTTCAACCCCAAGGATTGACTGGAGGGTGCTTACTTGACCAATTGTTGTAGTCAAAAGCAGAAGATGAAAGAAATTAAGATGGAAATTCTCATAGTAATTTCCATCCACAAATTGTAGTTGTGGTTAGTCTTCGATGTAGACAGAAAATGGATATTCAATTGAAGTTCCGACAGATTATGAGCAATTTCTAGTACCTTCTTAACGAAGTAAAAGACTTATTAAATTGGTTTTCCAATTAATCTATGCAAACATTATTTACACATTGAACATCAGTTTTCCTTCATGTAGAGACGATTCTAGCCGGCTTTAATACGCTCTGTGGAATATTGCTAACATGGCATTCTATTTAAATATTAGTCTTTGGGTTCTTATTGCTGACTCTGATCTTGGAAAAATGTTATATCACATGCAAATTTTTGTGTATAAATAGGACAATAGGAAAGGATTAGCAGCTGTATTTGTTGTAAAAATGGATACCCCATTTTCTCCCTTCTCTTTATTGGCCTTGGGGTTGATGCTACTGCTGGAAACAGCAGCAGCTGGAAGTGTTGACATTGGGGAAGATCACCAGGTTAAGGGTATCATAGGTGCTATTGTGGACGATGGCTCCAGGATTGGTAAGGAAGAGAGAGTAGCCATGGAAATGGCGATGGAAGCTTTCAATGACTACAATAATCAAAGCCTGGTTTTGCTTGTAAGAAACTCTCGGAAGAAACCTATTCGGGCAGCTGTTGTTGGTATGGTCTTCCTTCAGGTTTCTTAAGAATCTTTGCTTTTTGTAGGACGAGCTTTATGAAGACTAGAAAGTTAGACATAACATCATTAAATAACATCATTAAATTGCTTTAATTTTCTTTCAATTATTGCTATGTATTTCTGCTAGACCATTACCCCATATATATATATATATATAAAGTTAGTTATTGAAAAATAATAATGATAACTGAAAAAAGAACTTTCTATGTTCCAATGCATTTCATTATGATAAATTGCAGCAACGGATCTTATCAAGACACAAGGAGCAAAAGCCATTCTTGGACCACAAACATGGGAGGAGCTGTCATTAGTTGCTGAGATTGGTTGCCGAAACCACATCCCCGTTCTTTCTTTTGCTGATATGACTCCAACATGGGCAACAGATAAATGGCCCTTCCTACTTGCAGCTTCACCCAACCAGCATGCAGAAATGCAAGCCATAGCTTCTATTGTCCAGTCGTATGAGTGGCATCAGGTTACTGTGATATACGAAGACATTGGTTCATCATTGAGTGGAGTCATACATCTCTCTGATGCATTAAGAGAAAAAGGTATAGAACTTAATCATGTTGGTCTCCCTCCTGTCGGTTCTCCGTCACTCACCAAAGAGCTTGAGAGACTTAAAGGAGAGCAATGTAGAGTCTTTGTAGTTCATTTGTCCTCGTCATTGGCTGTTCATCTCTTTAAAAGGGCAAAGAGGATGAAGATGATGGAAAAGGAATATGTATGGATCACTACAACTAAATTTACAAACCTTATTCATTCTGTAAACGCCTCCACCATTGCCACCACCATGCAAGGAATTGTAGGAGTTAAAAGCTATTTCTCCTATAATTGGCATTTTCAAGATTTTCACTTCAGGTTTCGTAAAAGGTTCAGCTTAGAACATCCTGAAGAGAGTAACCAAGAGCCTGGAGTTTATGCAGTGCAGGCATATGATGCCTTATGGATGTTGGCTCAAGCAATGAGTGAAGGGAAAGAGGGGGAACTGTTATTAGAAGAAATTTTACATAGACACTTTCGCGGATTAAATGGAAAGGTTCATCTCATCAATCAAAAGGTGGCTCCTACAAATATATTTCAGATAATAAATATCATAGGAAGAAGTTATAGAGAACTTGGATTTTGGTCAGGTAGTATGGGTTTCTCGGAAAAAATTGATGACAATGCAAACCACAGTCTTTCTATGAAGGACTTAGGGCAAGTGTTTTGGCCAGGGGGGTCTTCAAATACTCCAAGAGGATGGAATTTGCCAACAAATTCCAAACCATTGAGAGTTGGTGTTCCTACTACGTCCTTTTTTAAAACTTATGTGGATATACAATATGACCAAGTGAAAAATGAGACTTCTATCAGTGGCTTGGCGATTGAGCTCTTCAGCAAAACTGTGAAGCAGTTGCTGTTCCCTTTGCCTTATGATTTGATTCCTTTCAATGGCACATATGATGAACTGGTGATGCAAATTGATTTGAAGGTAAAACTTCTCCTACTTTTTCATTCCTTATAATGCAATTATACCTTTTGAACCGTAGATAATGATATATCTTGATGAACAAAAGAGTCTGTTGAAGCTATAACTGAGTATTGTGGTTGATGTTGCTTTGCTATTCTAACACTGGCCAATGCCATTCATGAATGGAAGCAGAACTTTGATGCAGTAGTTGGTGATGTAGCAATTATATCAAACCGATACAAGTATGCAGAATTCACTCAGCCCTTCACTGAAGCAGGACTGGTAATGGTTGTTCCCCTTCAATTAAAAGCAAGCAACAGAGCCTGGTTATTCATGAGGCCTTTCACAAAGGCCATGTGGTTTCTAATAGTAATCATAAATATCTACAATGGTTTTGTTGTGTGGCTAATAGAGCGACACCACTGCTTGGAGTTTAATGGCTCTGCATTAAATCAAGCCGCAAGCCTGCTCTGGTTGTCCATCAGCACACTCTTCTCCTATCATGGTACTATGATCTATTCTCAACCAGGATGTTAATTAAGATTTCATTAAAAATGCAGACAGGCTAACATCAGTTTGTTTGATTTTCTTTTGTTCTCAATAAAGGCGAAAGGCTTCACAGCAATTTGTCGCGCATGACTATGGCAGTGTGGCTATTTGTGGTACTAGTCCTTACTCAGATTTATACAGCTAACCTTGCCAGTATACTCACTACTCAAGCCGTTGAACCCACTTTGAGTGGCATCGAGTCCCTGCAAAAAAGCAATGCAGTGATTGGTCACACCCAGGCATCATTTGTCAAGAGATATTTGGTGGATGTCTTGCACTTCAACCCCCGAAACATGAAGAATTATACATCCCCCGAAGCTCTTGCCGATGACCTTGGAAACGGAGCTGTAGCAGCTATATTTCTCGAATCTCCTGTGGCCAAGTTATTTCTAGCAAGATACTGCAAGAGCTTTACCATGGCTGGCCCAGCATATAAAGTGGGAGGATATGGATTTGTAATTCTTCTACTATCTTTCTTTTGCATTTCAATCTCCTCTTCAGTATTTGGCAAATTGCAACTCTCAAACAAATCAACCTACAATCTCACAATCTATCTGATTCTCTTATATTTGGTAATTCAACAGTGTCTGGTAGCATTATGTTGTTATGTTTTCCCAGCCCAAATTAAACAAGCTGCAGAACTAAACAGCCTTATTATCAGATAGTTGCCAATTTATTTGTTTTCCAATGGTTGGTCTGAAGAGGACAATGTAGAAGGTTAGAATGGGAGACTTGACAGAAAACTTGAACAGCTAGAGTTTTCTTTTTCCCCTCTGTTCTGGTCCAGACCAATTCTGGGCTTCTTTTATTATTCTTTTAATCCTTGGAGTGAAAGGCTTAAAATTACTTGCAAGTTCCAGGGTCATTAGCTGACTAGCTCAAGTAATTAATGAACTTCTTTTCATCATTCAAAAGAGAGTTCGGCCTAAGTAGGCCAGGTAACATCAACATAATCCAATCTCTAACAAGTTGCTTCCTTTACTTTAGGATGAAAACAGAATTTTGACAGTGTTTTCAACCGTTTGTTCGACAGGCATTTCCGAAGGGATCTCCACTGCTTCACAGTGTAACCAAAGCACTACTAAATTTATCCGAAACCGGCAAGCTACAAGAACTAGAGAACAGCATGATTGCAGCTCAGACTGCACAGAAGTGGGTATCAGTGAGGACATTAACAGTCTTAGCCCCGACAGTTTTTGGGCACTTTTCTCACTGACAGGATGCATTTCGACATTAGCACTCATAGCATATGTTAGTCATTGCAATTGGGAAAGAAATCATTATATTTTTGCAAACTGGATCCTGATGTTGTCTGTAATTAGAAGCTGGGCCAACACCCAGACTAATAAGCTGTTCTCAAAGAATGTTAGAAAGGTTCCAGAAACACCTGCAAACACATTGCAATTATGGACTCATGTTTGAACATTGGAGTCATTGCATAGAAGCTAAAACCTATTACTTACAGACTGTAGAAAAAATAGTTAAGTTTGTTATTAAAATATAATATTCTGCTTTTGTCCTTTAATCCCCACAATTCATTGAACAAAGTTAAGTGATGAGTAATGACAAAGCCACCTACTAGGCAAGATTGTGATATCAACATTCTCATTTCAGAAAGAACTGACTTAGACTGCTCTACTGTTGTCTAAGCAGAACAGAACATATAGATCATTGAAGTCCAGCATTTTCCATGAACTTAAATATTGTTTCTACTAATTACTAGTATCTTAGCAAGCATTTAATACAGTAAAGAAAAACAAGGGAAACTTAATTTGATCAAAGTAAAATTCAATCTACTTGAATGAAATTGAGATGGAATTCTTAGTACAGAGGGAGAAGAAATGCGTTCAATTGAAGTTCAGAAAGGATGAATTTTCAAGTGACTTCCTGACAGGAACATGGAGATAACGCTAATAAGACAAGTGTTTAATGCTTGGAATGCTGTTTCTGCTGAAAAAGGTGAGATCAAAATCTGTGGTCTGTGTGGTTATTTAGAAATGATACGGTCTTCACGGGAGTCACCTGCAATGTTGATCAGGTTTTGGAACTTGTCAAACTTAGAGTTACCACCTGGGCTCAAGCTAAGTGGCCTATCGAGTATGGCGTGGTCTTAAGACACTTATAGATATCCAGCTGAGGGCGCGGAGGTTAAGAAAAGGAAGAAACCCAGAATTGTGGAGGAGTGGAGCAATCCACACAAAGGGGAGATGAAATACAATGTGGATGGCGCAGCTCAAGGCTGGCCTGGGGAGGTAGGGATAGGGGGCATCATGAGAGATGATGAAGGAAACATCAAAATTGTCTTTTCCAAAGCTATTGAAGTGGAAGATGCTAGTGTGGCGGAAGTCAAAGCAATTAGGGAGGCGTTTTTAACTTTTGAAGGATCTAAATGGGTTGCCACACATTCCTTGATTATTGAAAGTGACTCAAAAAATGTTGTCAAATGGACTAACAACCCATCCGAAGCTCCTTGGAGACTTAGGAAGTGGATTCTGTATATTGAAAGGTTGAAGAAGGAGGTAAAGAAATAAGACAACATTCACATCTACAGGGACTAACCAACTAACTGATAGGCTGGGTAAGGGAGTGGTGCAGCGGCAGGTACGTTGACTGCTAAATGTCTATGATTAATCCCTTGTGCTTGGGTCCTTGTTATGTTCTGCGTCTTGTTTGTGCCCTGTGCATCTTGCGATCTGTCGTGACGATTGAAAGGTTCTTTGACTGTGTTGGATGGTTGGAAAGGTCTGTGTCGATGACTTGCGCTCTCTTGATGGGGTTCTTGGATGAAGTCCCCTGCTTTTGGCCATGACGAGGTTCTAGTGACATTGACTGCTCTGCTCTTGTGATTAGTGGTGTGAGTGATGGACTCTGGTCTCTGTGATGTGCAGGAGATGCTGATAGGTTTTCTTTCGAAGGGCAACTACAGATTTGTGGATATTTATGGCTCAAGGGTTATTTTTTGGTGCAGCCACCTGGGGGATCTGGGCATTTTGGAGTTGGCTTATTTTGTGTGGCTACTCATAGTTCTGTTAGGTTGCTGGGGTAGTGTTGATTTGGTATGATGTGTACAGTTTTCAACCCTGCTCACGTGATATTTATGATGGTGGCGGGATATGCTTTGGTTTTTGTTTTCTGGAAATGTACAGGGTGGGCTCTGTTGTTTTTTCTGGGGAGGGTATTGCAGGCTGTGTGAGATCAGAAATCTCTTTTGTTTGTAAGTCCTTGGCGGCTGGTGCTGTGATGATTAAGGTCTGTTATTTTCAAATGGTGAGTAACAGACCTTAATCAAGTTTGTACTTCTCCCAGAGGTGAATCTTTAGTATCCTCCGCTCCGAAATAACATCTTTCAAAAAATATAAGACAATTATATGCTACTGCCAGCAGGCCAGGAAATTTCTTGAGTTGTAGCAGATGGATTGGCCAAGCCTGGGGTGATAGAAGTTTCAAACTTCGGAGCTTACTTTCAGAACCAACAGAGGGAGAGTGCATAGACGTCTCAGGTTTATGCAAGGGTTATAGTCAGTTGGTTAATTCTGGTGTTTGTTTTCTCTGTACGTTTCATTGTATCACTGATGACTAATTAAGGATGCTGTCATGCTCTGTTTTTCTGCACTTCAACTTTTGGACGTAGCAGGCCTCTATCCTTTTGTAGCCTGCTATGCTTATGCATGGCAGGCATGAAATACCTTTTGTAAGTCTCCTCTTGCGGGACAACTAGTGCCTTTAAAAAAAAAATAAAAATTATCGGCCTTGAAGGGTATATATGACAGTCCTGAAGTCAAAGTAAGCTCGCCTTGGTGGCTTTGAGCGCTTCTTGAGTCGTAGGCTTTCATCATCATACACAGCATGAGTACTATGGCGTCTGGTCCAGTAGCAGTAACAACAGGATTTTCATATCAGGCATGATCTGCGCTTACAATGGATCAAACTGAAGAGTCTGGCAAGGGTTCATATAGAGTAGTGCATTTGGTGAAGATAATAAACCCTCTTTCTTGTGTACTTGCTGTTAAATATTCTTCTTCTCCATTCTTAGGCATACCAGATCCTTCAACAGTTTCTTGGTTGCTGATATATTGTTCAATGCTATGATACACTGAGCGTTCAACCTGAGATGCCGTAAATTCTTTCTTCCCAATGGAAAATATGATCATCTTCTTCACCTTTATGCAGTCTATTATAGTCATTCACATAAAAGTAAAGAACTCAACTTGCTAGGTAGGCCTTCCCCTATAGCTAAATTGAAAGCTTCTTCGGCATGACTATATTTTGTTTAAAATTTTTGAAAGATTAAACTCTAACTCAAGGTTATCGTCGATTATATTCATTTAGAGCTTAGATTATATCAAATCAAATCATATAAGCCTCAGGGGTTTGATGATCACCTTGTTCGTCACAATGTCAGCTCCAGTATAGTAATCGAAAACTACTAAACATGACAGAGCACTCTGTTGAATTTGTGAACACTGAACATCCTGATTGTGATTGGTAGCAGCAGTTGGTGGTGATTGGTAGCAGGGTGTCAAGTTTTTCAATAGGAAAAAGAAAATTGATTTTGTCGCTACCATCACTTTGTTTTTCCTTTTTTCATTGAACCAAAGGGGAAAGGCTTCACAGCAATTTGTCATGAATGACTATGGCAATGTGGCTGTTTATGGCATTAATCCTTGCACAGATTTATACAGCTAAACTTGCCAGTGTAGTAACTGTTCCAGGGCTTGAACCTGTTGTAACCAACATTGAGACCCTTCAGAATAGCAATGCAGAGCTTGGCTACCCTGACTTGTCCTCTGTTAGAGATATTTGAAGGAAGTTTTGCACTCCAACCCCAGAAACATCAGAGGCTATGCTCTTCCTGAAGATCTTGCTAATGGCCGTAGAAACAAAGAGATGACAGCTATATTCCTTGTAGTGCCTACAGCCAAGTTATTTCTGGCAAAATATTGTAGGTTCAGAGTGGAAGGCTACAGATTTGTAATTCTTCTACTAAAGTTTCTGTTTCATAATTAAAACTTATACTACTTGACACTTTCATTTGAGACCTAAACAGTAATTTCACTGATATCATTATCTTGAGTTGATTATTCAACAGGTATGTCCCTAGAGATCTCCCTTGCTTCCTAGTATAACTGAGGCATTGCTATAAGTATCCGAAACTGGCAAGCTACAAAGAACTAGAGAACACCATGGTTGCATCTCAACGGTGTGGTTATTGTCAATATGGATGATGATAAAACCGTTAGAATTAGCCAGATCAACAGCTTTTCCCGCTAACAGGAGGCATGTCAACAATTTCTCTCATAACACATGCAAGCCATTGCAAAGCAGGAAAGAGTTTCTCTGCTTAGTACATAGAGAGAATTGGATTATCGATTTAATTCCTAAAGTTTCAATTGATATGAATTCAACCCGTTTATCTATCAAACCCACCAAGTAGTTTTAGTTGAAATTGCCACATGCACACCAAGAGAGTTTGGAAGCAAATTGTGGTACAACTCCACTCCTATTGCTCCCTTCACTTGTGATCAATCATCCACCATCCCTTTAACATGCATGGCTCCGACGTCAAAAATCTTCTAGAAAACATATCTCTTTGTCTCTTGGATCTTCCCCTCACATTTCACAACCTTCAAGTCAATCAATCTGCACATGTTCAACTTATTATTGCATCATCAAAAAATGTCTTAAATTAAAAACAAAATTTTAAAATTCACATTATTTACGTACACTATCACCATTCTATCTTTACTCTTCACTTTTCGGATCATTTAACATAGCTTAATTTGAATAATGCTTTTACGACGAACATGAAAAAGAGTTTGCAAAAGCATAGACCTAGGAAAAGTCTAATGAAAAGAGATTATAATTAATACCATGATTATTGCTAATTATCATATGTTTAATTTCTTTCTTAATATGTTTATTAATTAGTAGTTGATATATAGCATATTTAATTTAACCCACTACTTCTATTACATGTGATCAGTTGGGGGACATAATGCCTGATATCATGTGGGAGATAAAGACAGAAGGTCAAAGGAAAGATAGTTGGAAGGCATTTAATGGAGATAACCAAAACATGTCTGAAAATCAATATCCATAAAAATGACAAAGAAGAAATATTAATGCATGCCAGCTTTGCAGATGAGACTGTAATAGGGAGACACTGACTTGTTTGATTGAAGAAAGGGATTGAAGTACTCTAAGAACTATAAATTGGTCAAACAGGTAAGATATATAGAAAAATGATATTCATTTAGGTTAAAAGAAATGAACACTTGTTGAATAGAATCATATACACTAAAATTTAGAAAAAAAAATATATAATATTATTAAAATTTTCACCATTCATCACTGTAAAAGGAATCTTTTACATGAATATTATTTTTAGTTATTTTTAACTTAATATCTAAAAAAAATTTTAACTTGTTCAAAAAAATTTAAATAATATTTTATTCT